GAGGTCGAATGTGAGTATCTTGATTGGTGCGGAGTTTAAGCTTGGTGGAGACAGGTGAATATCATGCGCTTGTATGCTTTGCTTACATATATACATTGGAGAAGTTTACACATTTTTTAGGCTGGTATACCAATCCCAGTTTACCTAGTCCATTTATTGTTTGACCCGAAGAAGTATTCGAGGGCTCGAGCAATGAACTTGCTAACTCGTAATCTCACATGCTCGTGCTTAACTTCGAAATATCCTCCTCGTCGCCTCGTTAATACCTCCCCGAGAAAACCCAATTTGGACAAAACTCAGGTGAGGGGAAAATAGTACGCCTCGGAGAGCAATTTTCTATATAAGTTGAAGTACTTGAGGTGGGCGATGTTCCAGTTGTTTGGTAGTAGTTTTCCTTCCATCGTTTCTAGTTGTAACGACCCTTTGCTTGCTGCCGCCGTAACTTTCTATGGGCCGTCCCAGTTAGTCCCTAGATTTCCTTCTCGTGGATCCTTGCTTGCTTGTGTTTTGGCTTTGAGTACGTAGTCTCCGACTTTGAGCGGTCTGATCTTGGCTTTTTGGTTGTAGTATTACTCTGCTTATTGTTTTTGGGCGACCATCCTTATGTATGCCATGTATCTTCGTTCTTCAGCCTCGTGGAGGTCTTGCCTCCTGCTTTCGTCATTTCTCAGCCCGCTCTCGTGTGGTACCTTAGACTTGGGTTTACCGACCTCGACCAGTATTACTGCATCAGTCCCATAGACTAGTGAGTACGGTGTTTCTCGTGTGCTTGTTTTTGGCGTTGCGCAGTATGCCCATAGCCCTTCCGGCAACAACTCCGACCACAGTTCCTTGGCGTTGTTGAGCTTCTTCTTGATGATATTCAATATTGACTTGTTGGAGGACTCTACTTGCCCATTGCCCACGGGGTGATATGGCGTGGAGAGTATTCTTTCTATATGCCATTTCTCGATGAACCCTACGATCTTTTTCCCAGTGAATTGATGTCTGTTATCACAACTGATTTCTTTAGGGAGGTCGAAGAGGCATACAATATTCTTCCATATGAAGTCGATAACTTCTTGCTCGCGTATCTAGCGGAACGCTCCTGCTTCAACCAATTTAGAGAAATAGTAAGTTAAAACCAAAGGAATCGTACGTTACCTCGCCCTGCTGGGAGGGGGCCGACGATGTCCATCCCCCATTTGATAAAAGGCCATAGCGAGGTGACTGAGTAAAGGTGCTCGCCTGCTTGGTGGATCATGGGGGCGTATTTTTGGCATTGTTCGCATTTTCTCATGAAGTCGGCGGCCATTTTTTTCATTGTAGGCCAGTAGTAGCCTGCTCGTATGAGGCATATAACTAGGGCTCAATTGCCGGGGTGAGCTGCGCAGTGATCTTCGTGGACTTCTTCCAGAACATGTCATGTCTGGTTTGGGCCTAAGAATTTTTCTAGGGGGCCGCCATACGTTCTTTTATACAAGTCGTTATTGATGACGCTGTACCTGGCCGCTTGCATTGGAAGCTTCTTGGCTTCTTTTTTGTTGTCTGGGAGCACTTCCGTCCTGCAAATATTTGATAATGCGATTGCGCCAGTCCCAAGTTAAGTTTATAGTTCGTACCTCAATTTGATCGATCGACGAGTGGAGGAGATTGACCACGTTCCCTTCTTCGGTTATGCTTTTAGTGGTCGCTGCCAGTTTGGCAAGGCAGTCAGCTTCGATCATCTGTGCTCGAGGGATTTGGTTGAGCTGGCATTCATTGAATTCGGGTAACAGCTTGCACATCTCGGCTTAGTATTTTTGCAGTCTTTGTTCCTTGATTTGGAAAGTCCCTGTGACTTGATTGGGGACGAGCTGAGAGTCGCACCGTAGGATGACTCGCTTTGCTCCGTACTTGAGTGCTAACTTTAGCCCTACAATCATGACCTCGTACTCGGCCTTGTTCTTAGTCATATCTAGGCATCTTATGGACTGGCGAATTACTTCGCCTGCTCGAACCTCGAGTACGAGTCCCAGTCCCGATCCTGACGCGTTAGAGGTGCCATCGGTATACAAAACCCATAGGTCGTGTATTTTGGGGGAAGTACGGGCGACTTCCTTTTCGACTTTAGGCATTATTTTTGTGCTGAAGTCGGCGATCACTTGCGACTTTATCACCGATCGTGGCTGATAGGTTATATCGTGCTCTCTCAATTCTATGGCCCATTTGGCTAATCTACCCGACAACTCGAGTTTATGCAGAATACTCCTCAGGGGAAAGGTCATGACTACCGAGATGGGATGGCACTTGAAATAGGGTCTAAGCTTTCGCGAAGCTATGACCAAAGCCAGGGCTAGCTTCTCGAGGTGTGATACCTCGTCTGGGCATCAACTAGAGTTTTGCTAATACAGTAAATGGGAGATTGCGTACCTTTTTTTCTCGAACCAGAACCGCACTCACGGCCACATCGGACACAGCCAGGTAGATGAGGAGGTGTTCCCCAGGTTCCGCTTTAGCGAGCAGTGGGGGTGACGATAGGTATGCCTTCAACTCTTTCAAGGCTTTGACGCACTCGGAGTTCCATTGGAGTACATTGTCTTTCTTGAGTACGCCGAAATATTTATGGCATCTGTCAGAGGACCGTGAGATGAATCTTGATAGGGCGGTTATACTGCCGGTCAGCTTCTGTACTTGTTTCTTACTGGTTAGGTTCTCCGGTATTCCTTCTATAGCTTTGATTTGGTTGGGGTTGACTTCGATGCCTCATTGTGATACCAAGAAAACGAGGAACTTTCCCGAGGTTTCATCGAAGGCGCATTTTTCGGGGTTCAATTTCATACCGTATCGCCTGAGTATGTCGAAGACCTCCTTCAAGTGGTTGATGTGATCCTCTTTCCTTTTTGACTTGACCAACATGTCGTCAATGTAGACTTCCATGGTTTTGCCGAGCTGGTCTTTGAACATTTTTGTCACCAACCTCTGATACGTTGCCCCTACATTTTTCAGTTCGAAAGGCATCACTCTGTAGCAGTACGTCCCTGGTGAGTATGAAAGTGGTTTTTTCTTGGTCTTTCTCCTCTATGAGGATTTGGTTGTAGCCCGAGTAGGCGTCCAAGAAGATTAATAGCTCGTGCACGGCTGTTGCGTTAATGAGTTGGTCAATATGGGGTAGTGGGAATGAGTCTTTCGGGCAGGCTTTGTTCAGATCTGTGAAGTCTACGCACATTCACTTCCCATTCTTCTTTTTCACCGTGACCATGTTGGCGACCCATTGAGGGTACTTCGATTCTCTAATTGAGCCATTTTGCAATAGTTTTTCAACCTCATTGATGATCGCGTCATTTATTGCAGAGTTGAATTTCCGCCTAACTTGCCACACTGGGGGTAAAATGGGTCGACGTTCAACTTGTGTGTTTCTATCTCTTTCGGGATGCCCGACATATCTGCATGGGAAAAGGCAAACAGGTCTGCGTTGTTAGTTAAGAATTGATGAAATTTACCTGATTCGTGAAGTTTGTGGCCAATGTAGGCTTTTTTGCTATTGTCATTTTTGTCAAGTTGTACGGGGTCAAGACCTTCTACGGCCAACCCTGTGGCTTCTACGATTTCGGGATCCCTGATGATGTCTTTTTCTTCATCATCACCTGACCCCGACCCTGTTAATTGCTATGCGGTCTCTGCTTTGCCTTTTAATTGTTGGGTGTATGTGGAGTCTTGGGAGACGCGGTAGCATTCTCGGGCAGTGCGTTTCTCTCCTCGGATGCTGAATACCCCCCAAGGGGTAGGAAATTTAATGACTGGATATAAGCTGGAGGGGACGACTTTCATGGCGTGTATCTAGGGACGATCTATGATGGCGTTGTACGTTGTATCCTGGTACATGATGTGGAACGTGGTCTCCAAGGTGACGCCACCGGCCAGGATGGGTAGCGTGATTTCTCCAGATGTCCGCTCGACCGCATTGTTATAACTCGTTAGTGTGATGCAGCATGGCACTATCCTATCCTCGAGCTTCATTTGTGCGAGGACTCGAGGGTGGACAATGAACGCGCCGCTCCCATAGTCGACCATTATACATTTTACGTCAGTATCTAAGATGCGTAAAGTAATAATGAGGAAATACCAAACCGTGGGTATCTGACTTATCAAAGATAATACTCTCTTCGAGTTCGTCATACCGTTCATGATTAATTGACCATTTCAGTTTGTGGGTGGTCGTGAATTTTACGCTATTGATTGACACGTCGTCGCCTCCTCCGATGATATTTGGATAGTTCGAGTTGTGGAGGGTGGTTTTGGTGGACCCTGATGCTGTTCGCGTCTTCGAGCAAAGTTTGTCCTTCCTCGATCACTCAAAAGTTCCTTAAGATGTCCTTGGTGAAACATGTCACGACCTCTTGCTTGAGAGTGATGGAGTCCTCGGTTTTGTGGTCCCGTTCCTGATGGAACTCGCAGAGGGAGTTTGACTTTCTGCTGTTTGGGTCAGACTTCATCTTCTGCGGCCATTTCACTTTTGGGCCGAGCTTCTCCAAGGCGTAGACTATTTTTGAGGGCGAAACACAGAAATTGTGAGTAGATAGAAGTGGAGGCATACCTCTTTCGCTTTGGTGAGTCCTATTGGCGGCCTAGATGGGGCGTCACCATGACGGGGAGGTGGTATGACGGCGGCTCTGACATATGGTTGATGTCTTTCGCGGTTGAGTAGCGGGCCTACATGGTCCTTTATGTTGCCATTTCTTCGACCTTTCCTAGATTCCATTTGGACTGAGGTTAGCTATTGAGTTGGCCCGTTGAGGTCGTCCTCGTCAGCTCGCACTTCAGCGCAGTAAGCGTTGTGTATCTTGTCCGAAGTGGTTGGGAGATATTTCATGAGTCGGCTTAACAATTTTCTAGTCGCCCTTGAACCGTTCCTGGTCAACCAGTTCTAGAAAGCTGCTACTGCCATTCCCTTTGATACATTTGGTAAGGTCATCCTCACGCGGTTGAATCGGGCGAGGAAATCTCTTAGTCCTTCACCGGGTGATTGTTTCATGGCAAATATGTCATTGACTCTTGCCTTTGCTTTCTTAGCCCCAGCATGGGCAGTCACAAACTTGTCGGCCATTTCATCAAATATTTCAATTGAGCGTGCAGGCAGCTATGAATACCAAGTTAGTGCTCCCCCGGTGAGGGTTTTGCCAAACTTCTTCAGTAATATGGAAGACACTTGATCTTTGGCGAGGTCGTTGCCTTTTACTGCGGTGACATAGTTGGTCACATTGTCGCGCCCCTTTTTACCTCTTTGCATCGGAAATCGGGTTTATGACATTTTGGGCATGGGACAACTCGTTCCTTTTGGGAACTGGGTTTTGCATTTAAAGAGTCGCCACCAAATGAGTTAAGGTGCATTAGGACACCTATAAGGGTCACTTCTAAGTTTGTGTGATAACCAGAGATAGGGTAAGGGCTTGAAATTATCCTAAGGGGAAGGTGTTAGGCACCCCTCAGGATCCACTAATGTGGTTCCCGGCCAGACAGTTTTTTTGTGAATTTGTGCAATTTAGCAAATAGACAAGTATAGGCTCAAATAGTAGGGTATTTAAGTTTAAACACATAAGAGTTCGAAAGAGCAATTATTAAAAGACATAATAAAATTAAAAAAAGAAGTGGCAAATGAAAAGAAAAGGGGTCCTAGGTTTATTTATAATATGGATCACATCAATGCAATACCCGGTAATCACTCCTCAAAAGAGGGGCTACGCGTGGTATTAGCGCACCGGTCATCATATCCATATCTACCCTTCCCACCCCATCGAGGTATTAAAGCGCGGATTGGTCTCGACAACTATTGCATGCTATTACCCGTCCCATTCCTATCAGTCCCGGAGGAACTTAGGACTACTATTCCTAAAGGGGAGGGATATTAGGCTGACTTTTAGGTTTCAAAAGGTGAAAAAGCTAAGGCGACATACAAAAACACAAAAGACTGCACATAAAGGGGAAACATGTAAACAACTAAAAGGCTCATGTATACCTCCTCAATCAAAGCACATAAATAGCATGACTTAAACACAGTCAGGGTCTGAATCTAAAATACTAAGGCAAGGGGAATTTTAATTGTTGAGGCAGACCAGTTTATAACATAACTCAGATAAGAAGTTCGAATCAGGCCTGCCTGCTGGTTGTAGCAGTTACTAATTAACAAAGGCGGGTTCAGTTTTATTTATTGTCACCTAAGGCTTGCCTAAGTGTTTGGGTGAGATCCTATAAACATGATATCTATTACTGATTCAGAACGTGGCAAAATAGTAACAATTCAAAAATGAACGATTTGAGATCCTATAGGCATGCTTTCTAAACTATTTTAGTAAGAAGAGAGAGAGTTGTTTAAAAAATTAGTTTAGAACAGCATGAGTTCAACTGATTTTAGACTAGACTGGTTTCAGATTCTATAGACATTGATATCTATTATTGCTAATTTTAATTCCTATAGACATGATATCTAGTTAAACGTGAAACGAAGCAGGCAGGACTTGCTTGAAATTCCTATAGGCATGATTTCTATGAAAAGATACTGATTTGAATCTATTGGGCATGATGTCGGATTATAACCAATTGGATCCTAAGAACATGGTGTCTAAGTGTGGTAATAGACATGCAGAATTTAAGACAAATCCTATAGGCATGTTATCTAAGTGCAGAATTTCAAACAGGTCCTATAGACAGGTACTCTAAATGCAGAGTCAAACATACAGACTAAAAAAAATCCTATATGTATATTATCTAAATGCTGAATTAATCATGCAGAAAACAGGTCCTATAGGCATGTTCTCTACCTTTCTAATAGTTAAGCATGCATAATTACCCAGCCCTTTCCACTATCCAACCCCAATGTTTATTACAACTTATTACCAACCAAATAATGAATTACATTAGAAAGTGTATAATAAGAAGTTACAACCATAGGAAGCCTGATTCTGACTTCCTCTCTGAGTTATGGAACAAACCACCTCAAATGCCACTTGTTTCAAAGCCTTTCTCAGACTTGAGTGTGTCAAAGTTCCCTAAGGGTTTCAAGGGACCCCGGGCAGTGCTCACACCCCAGTTTGCATAACCAGATAGAGATGGGTGCAGTGTGGAAGGGCCAGCCCTTATGTGTCCAAGTTCAGAGGGAGCTCATGGGTCCCAAGGCAAGGCTCACACAAGAGGGGCAGAACCTAAGTCTAAGAGTATAATTGAAGTGCAGAAACAGAAATTTAAAACTGAGTGGAGAATAGAGAGGGGTAAGGGGTTTGGGAATTTATTGCAAGGAGCATACGACCTTAGGAAGGGGTCAGGTTTGGGTCATGCACAGCAATGTCTTATGCTGACATGCCCTCAAACCAACCAGAGAATACAAACACATATGGGATATGGGGGTTTGGGATTCATAAGGCATTATCACATAATCAAATGACTGACAGAGTATTTATACACAAAGGAACACATTGATTTACAGCATGCTTTAGGAATGAAACTTGATTAAACACAAGCAAGAAACAGGCAAGAGTGAAGGCAATAGTAAAGAAAACCTGTTGTTTTTGGTGCTTGAAGATTAATTAGAACATACCAGTAAAGAAGCAAATGCAGAAAGAAACGTAAGCAAATTTCCACAGCCTGGCCTTGGCTTTCAGCCGGCTAGACAAGGCAGCAACACAAGTAATAACAGAGAAAAGAGAGAGAGCTTTTAGTTAAGTGTGTGTTCCGAACTCAAGTGGTTTTTGTGTTAATAAAAGCATTATGGTATTTATAGCTTTAAAAATGAGTAGAAAAATAAGGTAACAAGTAAGAGTTTCACACAAATATGGAAATAGATCACAATCAGAATCAATTAATACAAGTACTTCCCTTTAATCAAGGAATTACTGCTTAACGGATACTGGCAGGGATAATTAAGGAAAGAAAATAAATTTGAGGATGATTGATTTCTGACCATATAAGGGATAGTAAGAATATAGAGTATACAATTGAGTCTAAGTACAAAATATACTTAATTTTGGAAAAGTATTCAGCAGGGGTAAAACATCACAGCAAAGGAAGGGAATCAATCAATTTGAACAAAACGAGTGAAACCAGGGGTTTATAAGAAAATATTTGCAATCAGCCGTAACTTGAGGGAATCAAGATCAATCAAGAAAGAATCATGCTTTTGCACTTTGCCATATAAATAGAGAAGAATGAACACGAACATCAGACATGCAAGGCCAACCATATTGGCAAAAGAAGCAACTAGATGAACACAAACATACAGCAGTAACAGGGGTAGGCTGGGGCTCAGTAGTAAAAGAACCTACTCAAAGCATAGTAGTCAACAAAGTCAAGTAGTCACATAGAACTAAAATGAAGGAAACAGTCTAACGCATAGCAACATTTAGAGGAGGTCAGACCAACACACTAAAATAAATAAAGGTAGTCTTCGAAAGCTCACAGTAACAAATGAGGGAAGTTTCAAGAAATTAGGGTTTTAACAATAGTCGAGTTAAAAAAAATGGTATGAGCTTTGAATTAGTCAACAAAAAAGGGGATCTAAACACAAAGAGCTTAATCGTAACAAGTATACTTACAAAACAAACAAAGACATTTCAGGACCCGGATAAAACTAAAATACCTAGGGTTCTAACACGATGAACCAGATAGAAGAAAAACCTAAGCAAATCGTTCAAACAGTAAAATCATAAGATAACACTGAAGGTCGGAGAAGAAGCCTTTTAAAAGAAGTTTAAGAAAACCCTAATCTTTGAAAACGAAGAGTCATTTTGAAAGAAATCGGAAAAACCTTGGAGAAGAACATCAAAAAGTTCATGACATACACAGATCTGAAAGAAAAAATCGGAAAGCTCTTAAAGCTAGGGTTTCAGCGAACCCAGAAGAATGAGAAGAGCTTTGAAAAGTTACCGATCTAGCCGGAAAAGTCAAGGATCTGACTCGAACAGCCATGGGTGGTCGGAAAGAGTCCATGGATAGAAGTTGAGCCAAGACTGGACTAGATCTCTTTGAGATCTGTCCATGAAATCACGGAAACAAACAAATAGGAGACACAGGAGGTCGGTACATGTCTCAAACAGCCATGAGAGTCCATGGATTGGGTGAGAATCGAAGGGGATTAGGGTTGATCTGGGTGGCGGCGGCTAGGGTTTAGGTGAGATTGTAGAGAGAATTGGAGAGGAAGGGATTCAAGGGCGGCGGGTTGGTGGAAATGAATTAGGTTAAGGGGGTAGTTTGGGTTTATTTTAGGTAGGTGAAATGGTGGCGTTGATCTGAATGATCAACAGCCTAGATTAGATGGGGTAGGTAGGGATCCGGGCTTGGGTTGGGTTTAAAGGGTTAGGGTCGGGTTTAAATTAGAAATTGGGCCAAGGGATTGGGGATTCGATTTAGGCTAGATTTTAAAGCCAATTTTGGCTATAAGTTAAATAGCCATATTTTCCTTTTAATTTATAAAAAATAGCAAATAGTTTTTTTGAAAATGAATTTGAAATACTAAAATGATTTATAATACATAATTAACAATATAAAAATACAAGACTCAATTTTATGAATATATAACATAATTAAACCTTAGAAATGGCTAATATTGCAATTATATGCAATTTAGCTTTAAAAATACTAATAGAAATTTGATATCTTTTTTCCGCCTCAGCAAATCAGTTTTTTTTCCACAAGGAATCGTGATGTCTTTCTACGGAATTGCGGGTCTCTTTATTAGCTCTTATTTGTGGTGCACAATTTCCTGGAATGTAGGTAGTGGTTATGATCGATTCGATAGAAAGGAAGGAATAGTCTGTATTTTTCGTTGGGGATTTCCGGGAAAAAATCGTCGCATATTCCTCCGATTCCTTATAAAAGATATTCAGTCCGTTAGAATAGAAGTTAAAGAGGGTATTTATGCTCGTCGTGTTCTTTATATGGACATCCGAGGCCAGGGGTCCATTCCCTTGACTCGTACTGATGAGAATTTGACTCCACGAGAAATTGAACAAAAGGCTGCTGAATTAGCCTATTTCTTGCGTGTACCAATTGAAGTATTTTGAGAAATTGAGATATCAGTATCAGGAAACAATATTCTGAATTTCTTCATTCGAAGTGAATTCTTAGCTTTTTTCTGGATTCTTTCTAGATTCAAAGACTAACCACAAAATCACAAAGAAAATAGATTCATTAGTCCGATACCTTGTATAAAACTCATGTGTGTAAGAAATATTCGATCGCATAGAGTGTACGAATGGGTTGATTAACAATTCACAGATGAAAAAATGGCAAAAAAGAAAGCATTCACTCCTCTTTTCTATCTTGCATCTATAGTATTTTTGCCCTGGTGGATTTCTTTCTCAGTTAATAAATGTCTGGAATCTTGGGTTACTAATTGGTGGAATACTGGGCAATCCGAAATTTTTTTGAATAATATTCAAGAAAAGAGTCTTCTAGAAAAATTTATAGAATTAGAGGAACTCCTCTTCTTGGACGAAATGATCAAGGAATACTCGGAAACACATCTCGAAGAGTTTGGGATAGGAATCCATAAAGAAACGATCCAATTAATCAAGATACAAAACGAGAATCGTATCCATACGATTTTGCACTTCTCGACAAATATCATCTGTTTTATTATTCTAAGCGGGTATTCAATTTTGGGTAATGAAAAACTTGTTATTCTTNATGAGGCGATCTTTCAGCCCATGCAGATATAGTATGAGGCAATCTTTCAGCCATGCAGAGGCAGTATGAGGCAATCTTTCAGCCATGCAGATGCAGTATGAGGCGATCTTTCAGCCATGCAGATATAGTATGAGGCGATCTTTCAGCCATGCAGATATAGTATGAGGCGATCTTTCAGCCATGCAGATGCAGTATGAGGCGATCTTTCAGCCATGCAGATGCAGTATGAGGGGATCTTTCAGCCATGCAGATATAGTAAGAGGCGATCTTTCAGCCATGCAAATGCAGTATGAGGCGATCTATCAGCCATGCAGATGCAGTATGAGGCGATCTTTCAGCCATGCAGATGCAGTATGAGGCGATCTTTCAGCCATACAAATGCAGTATGAGGAGATCTTTCAGCCATGCAAATGCAGTATGAGGCGATCTTTCAGCCATGCAGATATAGTATGAGGCGATCTTTCAGCCATGCAGATGCAGTATGAGGCGATCTTTCAGCCATGTAGATGCAGTATGAGGCGATCTTTCAGCCATGCAGATATAGTATGAGGCGATCTTTCAGCCATGCAGATGCAGTATGAGGGTAGAGCTTAACCTTGGAAGGCGGGATGGTAGCTTATGCAATGCGAAATGCAGATGGAGACAACGTTTAGTCTCGGAAGGCAGAATGGTAGCCTTATGCAATGCGAAATGCAGATGGAGACAGTGTTTAGTCTCGGAAGGCAGAATAGTAGCCTTATGCAATGCAAAAAGCAGATGGAGACAGCGTTTAGTCTCGGAAGGCAGAATAGTAGCCTTATGCAATGCCAAATGCAGATGGAGACAACGCTTAGTCTCGAAAGGCAGAATAGTAGCCTTATGCAATGCAAAATGCAGATGGAGACAGCGTTTAGTCTCGAAAGGCAGAATAGTAGCCTTATGCAATGCAAAATGCAGATGGAGACAGCGTTTAGTCTCGGAAGGCAGAATAGTAGCCTTATGCAAGAAATAAAATGGCCAATGATAGTAGAGTTTTTCTTAGCTGATAGCATATTGCGACATTGTGATTACTGGGGACATTGTGACAAAGAATATAGCTGGTGTGTGCGGATAACAAATGTTGGTAAGTGCAACAGTTCTGAGAGTTGTATTCATGAATAATGTTCGTCCCATGGGTGTATAATATGTTTGATGATTTTGCACTTGCATCCAAAAAAATCGTGAGTTTTGTAAAGGGGGAGGTTAGTTCGTGTCCCTGCTGGCTTTGCTTGACCTGCTCGACTCTGATCTGGTGATACTGTATGTATCATTGGGGTAGCGTTGCTAAACAACGCAATTTCAGTAATATGCATGATTTTGTAAAAAATACGATAATAATAGTTTTTAGATGAACCGATGACTGTGATGTGGTTCGTGACATTGCAACCTTCTTTGCTACGGAATTTTGAGGGTCCTGCTCAAAATTCTGCCCTAGTTTAATGGGTTGATGCTTCAGGCTATTGCTTGCGACGATCGACTGAAATTACTTCGGAATTTTGAGGGTCCTGCTCAAAATTCTGCCCTAGTTTCCAATTGCGGGGAAAATGAAAATTTTATTGAATTGTGACCGAACCCATAGGGCTGCCTACGTATCCCCTCTTAAACGGGAATCAGGTCAGGCGTAGTTCAATTACATCATATAGGGAAAACATAAAGATCACACATAGTAACATTTGACTGCATCTGAATTGATCGGCTTTAGCCGGACTTCTCCATCCATTTCTGCAAGTATGAGGGCTCCTCCCGTCAGAATTCGATGGAATATGTATGGACCCTGCCAATTGGGAGAGAACTTCCCCTTGGCTTCATCTTGCTGCCCCAGAACGCAACCAAAAGCTCCATCCAATACTGCGGGGTAGAGTAATAGGGGTCTACCTGGCTCAGGCGGGACCAGGACTGGTGGTGTTGACAAGTACTCCTTGATTCTGTCGAAGGCCTTTTGGCAGTCATCGGTCCAATTGGTGGCGGCGTCCTTCTTCAACATCTTAAAGATTGGCTCACAAATAACCGTAGACTGTGCTATGAATCGGCTGATGTAATTGAGCCTTCCCAAGAAACTCATCACGTCCTTCTTGTTCCTCGGCGGTGGCAATTCTTGAATAGCTTTGACTTTTGATGGATCCAGTTCTATTCCTCGGTGACTCACAATGAACCCAAGCAATTTCCCAGCAGGAACCCCAAATGCGCACTTCGCAGGGTTCAGTTTCAGGTTGTACCTTCGCAATCTATTGAAGAACTTCCTCAAATCTTCCATGTGATCAGTGGCCTTCTTGGACTTGACGATGACATCGTCTACATATACCTCAATCTCCTTGTGTGTCATATCATGGAAAATGGTAGTCATGGCCCTCATATAGGTGGCCCCTGCATTCTTCAGGCCGAATGGCATCATCTTGTAACAATACATTCCCCATGGTGTAATGAAAGCCGTTTTCTCAGCATCTTCTTCATCCATCCAGATCTGGTGATAACCCGCGAAGCAATCTACAAATGATTGCAACTCATGCTTAGCGCAATTGTCAATCAGGATGTGTATGTTCGGCAAAGGAAAGTCGTCTTTCGGACTAGCCCGGTTGAGATCCCGGTAGTCGACACAGACTCTGACCTTCCCGTCCTTCTTTGGCACTGGCACGATGTTAGCTAACCATGTCGGGTATTCTACTACCCTGAGAACCTTACCTTTGACTTGCTTAGTGACTTCTTCCTTGATTTTCAAACTCATATCAGGCTTGAATTTTCTGAGCTTTTGCTTTACTGGCGGGCATGCTGGATCGGTTGGCAGCTTGTGAGCCACAATAGATGTACTCAAACCAGTCATGTCATCATATGACCAGGCGAATATGTCCTCATATTCCCTTAGAAATTCTGTGAATTCCTTCTTTTATAATGGCGATAAGTGAACGCTGATTCGTGTTTCCTTGACGTTTTCTGCATCTCCCAGGTTAACAATTTCGGTCTCTTCCAGGTTGGACTTAGGTCTGTTCTCAATGTTTTCAACTTCTTTGACAATCTCATCTTCCTCTGAATTAATGTCCATTTGTTGCGTTGTCTCATGGTATATCACAATCATTGGTTCATCAAGATAAGTAATAGTAATGCTGTATAAGTAAAGTAATGAGAGAAAAATAATAATGAGTGTTGATTCATAAGAAAAGTCGAAATGCTTTGATAAATTTCATAACTGTTTTGAACATTGAAGATCTTATTGCGGGAATTAAAATGCGAAAGGAAAATCATTTAGTAAATAAAAACAGTGCATGATGCTTGTTTTAGCCTTGCTACCCTGAGGCTCGTCGGGCTCTGGTTGTCCTGATGGTCCAGTTATTGAGGCATGCTCCTTTGCATACGGCCTGTATGGAAGGGCTTTCCTCCCCCTCCTCCTCGAGAATAACACATCAGTCCATGTCATTGTCTTCTAGGAACAAGTTCTTCACTGCTGCCAGTGCTTCTTCTTCATCTGACCCATAAACAACGTTGGCTTGTTGGAAAGTCTGCTCCAAATGCGGTATTGGCTGCTTCAGTGAATAGTAAGGACCGCTCCATAGTGGCGACCAGTTGTTGAATTCTTCCCAGGTGTACTCATATCCCAGACCGAAAGTAGTGCCGTGTTTCTTGAGTTTTATGGGTTTAGCGATTCCTGGGAGGTTCTTTCCGAGCCCCTTGCCAGGTTCGTACCCACTCCAATGTCGAGGCTGGATCCTCCATCGATCAGGATTCTGGTGATAAAATAGTCCTCGCATTGCACAGTGATGTGCAGTGCCTTGTTGTGTCCCAACCCTTCAGGCGGCAGCTCGTCCTCATGAAATGTGATCTTATGGCTCTCCAACACTTGTCCTACCATGTTAGCATTTCTCCGCCAGTGATGTTACTTGGCACATATTCTTCACTCAGCACCTCCTACAGAGCATTCTTGTGTGCCTCAGAATTTTGTAGCAAAGCAAGACTGGAGATTTGCGCCGGTGTTTTGTTCAACTGGTCGATGACCAAGTATTCCTTGGCCTGTATCTTTCTCCAAAGATCGTCTGGACCTGTCTCAATGATGGTGGCCGGTTGGAGGCCTGCTTGCTTGACTCGACTACATGTTCCGGGGTATAAACTCTACCAGTTCTCGTCATACCCTCTGCGGCGACAGTCTCTTCGAACCTAACCTTGCCTTTCCTTCTTGCCTCGGCTGTATAGTCCCAAGGTACAGCCTTTGTATGGAATGGTGTCATGGTCGACATCTCCACTGGGATCGATGTGGCTATCCTTACTCCGAATGGAGCATGTGACTTGGATGGTAAAACTGTAACTTAAAACGGTGCGGGTGCATTTGCTGGAGACATGAACTCGACCTCAATTGTTGCTGGTGTCTTTG